CAGTAACTTATAAGAAAAAAATATGAAAAATTAGTCCTCTTAAAGGGTAAACGAATGTAGAAAATTAAATAGTCATCAGATCTGAGAGATTAAATCAGAAATCATTTAACCTAACCTCTGAAATTGCTTATCCTAACCTCAAAAGTGCATTCTTAGTTTAATTGGTATGTTAAAAAAATGATTACGAAATCTGTATTTACAAAAAATCATTATTTTATATATTTATTCTTAATTCATACTGTGTCCTTAAAATTGAAATTGAGCTTTTAAGAAGATTATTTAATATTTAAGAGAGCATTAAACCGCAGAGCATCAAAGAAAATTAAAGATTGCTAATCGAAAATAAACCCTAATTGTTCCATGTCCTTTTGAATCTCACTGCTAGAGCACTGATGCTGCAACATATCCAACCAGAGCGTATAGGAATAATCCTCATGCATACCGCCATAGCTGGCGAAAAGATCATGAAGTTTAGTTATTTGCTTATATGAGCAAGAAAACCCCATAGTAAACTTACCGCTTGGGCAAATGCTCGGGATAAATGTGCTCGTGCAATGAGCTCATGTCGCTTCCGTGTATAAAGAGTCGCTCACGCATGGAGGTATTGAGAAACGGCTTAAAGATCTTAAAAGCCGCATTAAATAGCCAGTTCTGGTTGACTATATGCAGGGCGGCGGTTCGTATGGGCATGGAGGTCTGCAAGAATGAAAAACTTCGAATTTTAAATTTAATTTAGCAAGAGATATGCCGCACCCACCACAAGCAAGGCAATCATTTTCTGTGCCACACTGGGACTTAAATGTAGCATATGCTCCAGGCCCAAATCCTTCAGATCAAATATGGCCACTCCGCCCATTATTTGTGAGATAGGCTCGAGTGAGCCCAGTTCCTGCAGCAAAATAGTTGCCCTGAAAATATCGTCCACAGTAACGCGATTTGGCCGCCACAATCCAAAGTGATAGATGAGTATGCGATGTCCCAACTGATCACGATATGGCGTCACAGTCAATATATTCTCATCGCCGAGATGCCGCAAATCCAAAGGGCGGACCTTCTCGTAGTAACTTTTGTTCTCTTCACGAAATTTGTAATAGTTGCAGATCTGTAAAAATAAATATTTGATACACACTAAAAGATATCATAAATATATATAACCAAACTTTGTCTGTAAAGAGGTTTATCATTCAATTTTAAATCAGTTCTTCTCCCACACAGATTAAGGATTTTTCGAAAAGCATAAAACAAGTCTCCAATAAAATCGTTTAAAAGTCCAGTTTTTCGGAAAAGTCCATATTTTCTGAAACTTAGGAACTGTGAAACTTCAACTTCCCAACTGTTGCAAGCTTCATTGTACGTTCGTCAATCAATAGATCAGGCAATTAGAATTTCAAAGAAAATAGTCTTAAATAAATTTGTTTAGATAAACCCACCAATTTGTAGCTATTCTCAATTTTCCAGTAGCGCGCGCGCAGAAACTTCTCCAGATATTTATCATCATTGCGATGCGGCTGACAGTCCTTGCGCTCTGTAGAATGTCAAAAACCATTTTAGTCGGTTATTTTTCAGTCGTACATTCATTCGAAACATACCTAAGATATAATTGCGAAATTGTGCAATTGTCTCCTGTTTTGTCTTCGAGCATTCTCCCTGTTTTTCTGCCAAGAGCCGTATGCGCTCTGGCACTTCCTCCTCGGTGATATTTAATTTGTGCTCTATGGCAGGCATAGCTCGGGCCTTTAGAAAGAGAATGGGTCAAAAAAGATGAGCAAACAATATGTTGTGCTACATGTTGTATAACGGTACATATGACCAAAGACAATATAAACACTAAGATGAGTAACGTCCATACATTTGAATGCGACGCAAAATTTCTGGCCTGGCCTTTCATCTGGCCTTTGAGGCTTCGTACGGCATGCCTGCCGACTGGTTGTTCGTTCTCCAAAGACCAGACGAACGAATGCCGAAGTCGTGGCTGCCTTCAGCAAAGCTGAATGCTATTGATTTCGGTTTCGTTCTCAATTTTCAAAAAATCAAGCTGCATAGTAGCATTTTGTTGTATGGCGTTACTCATCTTAGTGTTTATATTGTCTTTGATATGACTCTCTCGCTCCCTCTCTCTTTACTCTCTGAAATGCTGTCTTTGCAACACTGCACTCAAATGTTGCTAAGGTGACATGTTGCTAAGGCATGTAGCTAAACCCTAACTTGTTGCTGAGCGTGTTGTTTGAATGTTGCGAGCGTAAAATTTAGCTATAACAAACTTGACGCGAGTCTCACAAAGTTTTTTGTTAATTTCAAACGCGAGAATTAAAACAATAATTAAGTGCACAGAACGAGAGCTTTTGTTAACCTCACGTGTCTCATTGTTAGCAGTATTTTGTTTTTGCTTTTGTTTTTTTTTTTTTTATTTTTCTGGGGCTAAACTTGAAGTGCTGCCTGTAATTGAACCTGACATTGACGGCACTTTGAAGCTTGACTTTAAAGCAATTGCCTGAAACATTTGGTGTCTTTGAATTTTACCATTTTGTTTCGATTTTTCTATTCCTTCAGCAGTTGGGCAACGTTCGACTTCAAGTTTGAAACTGAGTCCGCGTATCACACCAAATGTTTTCAATCCCATGCAATATATGCAATATATGCTATAAACAAAAACAAAACAAGGCACATTTTTGCGATAACAAAATGAGGCAGCGACAACGATTATCGCTTCAACCCAGTCCGAAATCTCTTCCTCAACTCAACCGAGCTGAACTCAACACCCAATTGCTCAAAAACCTGATAAGGGTAACGTCTCTTTCATTCTGTTCCAATGTATTTTGCTACTCTGATCGCTTTCGAGCACGTAGCAAATTTTCACGTTAATGTCTCATCTAAGTAAACAATTGAAAAACAAAAAAAAACAAAAAATAACCCCGGGCCATTTTACATGACAAAGTGCATTGGGTAGATTAGCTCAGGCACTTAACTCCTTGTTTGCATTCGCTCGAGAAGTTAACACTTTGTGTGGATGCAACGGAGGAGAGCAGGGTCAGCGGTAATTAGGAATTTATCTATGCGCAAGATTAAACAGGAATTATATATGTATTAATATATTATTAAACTTAAACTCTTCTGTTATTCAAGAAAGTTTATTTGACATGGCGTGGGCGTTTAAGAGATGAAATCACATCCATTTCACCTCAGAAACAATCAAGACTAAAAATCAGCTAATGACGTGCCAATTTGTGGGCAAATTCCAAATTCCAGATCACAGGCTCAACTCGCAAATATTGTCAGGCGTGGCAGAATGCAAAGAATGCAAGCCAATCTTTAATGTATTTAATCTTAAGTGCAAGTGTTAATGAGCCGCATTTCTAGTCATGATGCGTTAATTCTGACTGCACTTTACTTAATTGGCAAATGACAAATGAAAATAAAAACCGTGCTGAATGCAATAACAAGAAAGTAATCTGCATAAATTTCTCTAACTTGTTTGCTTTTATTTATATTATATTAAATACCGGTTTTAATCTTAAAAAAAAAAAACAGCTGCAGTAATCAAGGCGTGACCTTTACCTAATTTATATATTATATCAATTATAGCAGCTGCATTTATTTTGCAACTTTTCAAAATGCACTTTTTACTTTAATTACCAAGTAAATATTTGTGGGCAACTTATTTAGTTTTTCTATAGATATTGATATTGATATTGTTTACACGCACAGCGGATCTCTGGTATTTTTTATAATTATATCGCGCATATATACTTTTACTTTTTTTCGAAATTGAAACCCAACAACTGTCAATGCGAAGACTTCGTGTCGCACAACTTTGTTTCAAGACTGACTCAAAGATCGTTTAGAACAAAACGTTTTATGCCCCCAGCACTCAGAACAACACTCAGAGAAAACCCGTATTCAAGCCGGGTAACGAGTTAAATTAAAAGCATCAAGTTCTATGTGCTGTAAGCAAAAAAATACAACAATAAAACGAAGCTGTTCTACACTAGCAAAATAATATCAAGCATACAATTTATAAAAGAATTTTTGAAGAAAAGTGTAACTTACATTTAAGATATCTGTGTGCCAAGTTAACTCACATAAAAAATAAAAACTAAAATACGATGATTTAAATTCTCGCTTTATCTCTGTGTCATAAGCTCATTGTTAGGGTAACTGCATGTTATTAAATGCCAGTGAGAGTGAAAATATTATGTAGCCGTAAACTTGCAGCTAATCGGAAGGCTAAAAATGGAGGCCACAGCTTAATGATGAAGTTTCGGATGCTATTGTATGTATGTATGTATGCATGTATACACATGTAACAAGAGATGCTGTGCAAGTTCAATGAGCTTTAATGACGTCACCCCGTTAAGTACAGACAACGTGTAAGTCGTTATTGCTGAGTAACTGACCTATACGATTACTTGCAATTTTAACTTCCCATCTCGGATTAATTTAAAACAGAACATTCGTGGTTTTTACAAATATGTGTAAAAAAAAACTAGTTTTAGTTGCAAGTGCAACAAACCTTTTGTTGTCGTTGGTCAAGGTCAGTTAGACGTAGTCGAGGACCAAAAAACTTGTTTAGCCGGCCAGGCCTCTCCTAGTCGCATTAGCCTTAAATGTGCTTTAATTTAGCATGATATTTAGCAATAGACATTTCCGACATTTAACGCAATCTGACTGTTTTAAGCACACATGATGATTTTATTCAAACGTAAGCATAACCTTTTCGCAAAAATAAATGCCTTCACCGTTTAGCCATTAAAAACGGGTTAGTTATAACCATAACTGAACCACAATTTGTAAATAATCAATATGATGCTACAGAATTTAAATATAACTGCTATTTTTCTAATTCATATCGATTGTTACGTGCAATTTTAAACAAAATATCAAACAGGTGGCAGCACTAGTGTAGATTTCTATCTGTTTCATGCCTGTTGCAGTATAAATTCAGCGTTTCCCCAGGTCTGGCAACATCTGCTTCACGTATCGATAATAATATCGAAAGAGGAACCATCGTCTGTATTCTTGGCTTGGCGACGACGGGTGTTTGTGCAGCCAAGGAATTTTCGCCAATTAAATTTTATTGTAAAGTCCGTTTTATTTAGTGTTACAACTAATTGATTGCGTGTTAAATAGAATTAAGTGCTACTGTGCAACTAATACGTGCAGTACAAATCAAAGACCAACGCAGCAAATAAAATAAAGTGCGGCGGCGTCTACTGTGTGTGCATATTTTGCAGTCTCTATCGCGCTTTGGTTTCGTCAAAGCAGACACAAAATTTACACAAACAACTAAAAAGGTGAGCAAAATGGTGTTTGGTATATTTAAAATGAATGGAACGAGTTAATGCAAACTATCTAATGGGTCTTTCTTTTATGTGAGTTGAGAATTAAACTCTTTTTACCCGTTGGCGTCGCATTTGCAAATTAAAAATGGCGCTGCCCATGTAGATAGAATTTTTGTGCGTAAGTTGTGTATGCGAAATACCTTTACGAAGGCAATTGTAGAAGTTGGGCTTTTTAAATGCCCTTTATGTATACACTCGATTTATTTTGGTAAAATGATATTTTAAAGCATATTTCAGAGACTAAACAGCAAAGCCGGTAAAGCCGCTCACACAGATACACACGCATACAGAGGCACCCGAAAATATATTTACGCTAAGTTTGCGTTTTTCTTTTTGTGGGTGCAACTGAACGTGGCGCACTTACATATATACAGTTGCATTACATAATGCTGCAAATAATTGTAACAATGTATTGCTTATTTTTTGTCTAGCAAATGTTTTTCATGTTGTAGTTGTTGTTGACGCATAAGCAGCCGGCTCAACTGTCCCGCCTAAAGACAGGGATGTTATACATACACAAACACTGAATTGCGCGCGTCTTTAATGTAATAAGAGGTAATATACATACAAGTCTTAAATACATGCTGCTGCACTTTTATATTGAACTTAAAAGTAAGAAGTAAATTATCAAATGAAGCACTTCATTTGAACCAAATATTATTTTGGACCACAGTTTGTGTTAAAAGAAAGTTGTTGTGCCTAAATGCTTGTGTATTTGTGTTCGCGCCAAAAAACAAAAGCATTGAAAACTATTTTTACACCCTATCTAGAGTACATCAGTTTTGTCATGAAATTCGCTACACATTAAAGCCATAACAGGCATATATATACCTGATCAATAATAAAAGCAGTTACGTTTGGCAAAGTTCTTTATTATTATTGTTTTAGGCAGAACAGATTTTCCAAAAAACAAATCAAGCAATTTTTGCAGTTACAAGCATTTTTAAGTCTGTAAGAGCATTTAAACTTCGACACCCCGAAGATATGTTTTTTCTTACGCTCACGGCTAATCACAATTTGCGCTACGGCTTTCTATTCGTAAACAAAGCAGCGTGCTTGTGGGTACAGTTATGCTGGGTTGCTTTTAACCATCTTTGTTGTTCTATTTTTAGCACGTGCAACGAAACAGCAGCAGCAGCAAAAACAAAGTCGTCATCATGGAGAATGGTAAAGGTAAAGGCATGTCCATCGAACAGATGTACCAGAAGAAATCGCAGCTGGAGCATATTCTCTTGCGTCCGGATTCGTATATTGGATCCGTGGAGTTTACCAAGGAGCTAATGTGGGTACATGATGTCGAAAAGAATCGCATGGTGCAACGTGAGATATCATTTGTGCCGGGACTTTACAAGATATTCGATGAAATTCTGGTGAATGCAGCTGATAATAAGCAGCGCGACAAGACGATGAATACGATTAAAGTTGACATTGATCCGGAGCGAAATCTTGTGTCCATTTGGAATAATGGCCAGGGTATACCGGTAACGATGCACAAAGATGAGAATATGTATGTGCCCACGATGATATTTGGTCATCTTTTGACCTCATCCAATTACAATGATGATGAGAAGAAGGTAACTGGTGGTCGTAATGGCTACGGTGCCAAATTGTGCAACATTTTCTCGAACAGCTTCACCGTGGAAACGGCGACAAGGAAGTATAGGAAGTGCTTTAAGCAGACCTGGGGCAATAACATGGGAAAAGCAGGTGATCCAGTTGTAAGTACCAAATACCTATGCCCAATATTAAGCCTTAACTAATAACAGTTTTCTTTTAGATTTCAGACTTTAATGGCACCGATTACACAAGGATAACATTCAGCCCCGACTTAACTAAGTTTAAAATGGAATCACTGGATAATGATATTGTGGCGCTTATGTCGCGTCGCGCCTACGATGTGGCAGCATCCACGAAGGGCGTGTCTGTGTTCTTGAATGGCACCAAGGTGCCGGTGAAGGGCTTCAAGGATTATATTGATCTGTTTATCAAGAATACAGATGATGACGCTGGCCAGCCTATGAAGGTGGTATACGAGGCGTGCGGCGATCGATGGGAAATTGCTTGTTGCCCCTCGGATCGTGGCTTTCAGCAGGTCTCGTTTGTTAATTCCATAGCAACCACCAAGGGTGGTCGCCATGTCGATCATGTGGTTGACAATGTGATCAAGCAGCTGATTGAGGTGCTCAAGAAGAAGAACAAGAATGGCATCAGTATAAAACCCTTTCAAGTGCGCAACCATTTGTGGATATTTGTGAATTGCTTGATCGAGAATCCCACATTTGACTCGCAGACCAAAGAGAACATGACACTGCAGGCCAAAAGCTTTGGCTCCAAGTGTGTGCTCTCTGAGAAGTTTATTTCTAATGTATCGAAGGCGGGCATTGTGGAGTCTGTACTGGCCTGGGCCAAGTTTAAGGCACAGAATGATATTGCCAAAACTGGCGGCAAGAAATCATCTAAAATCAAAGGCATACCCAAGCTGGAGGATGCCAATGAGGCAGGCACAAAAAATTCCATAATGTGTACCCTCATTCTTACCGAGGGAGACTCAGCCAAATCCTTGGCTGTCTCCGGCCTGGGCGTGATCGGACGCAACTACTATGGGGTCTTTCCGCTGCGCGGCAAGCTGCTCAATGTGCGCGAGGCCACCTTCAAGCAACTCACTGAGAATGCGGAGATTAATAATCTGTGCAAGATTATCGGATTACAGTACAAGAAGAAATATCTAACCACAGATGATCTAAAGACGTTGCGATATGGCAAAGTTATGATCATGACTGATCAGGATCAGGATGGTTCCCATATTAAGGGTTTACTAATAAATTTCATACACACCAATTGGCCGGAACTTTTGCGTTTGCCCTTCCTCGAGGAGTTCATAACGCCCATTGTGAAGGCATCGAAAAAGAACGAAGAGATTTCCTTCTATTCGCTGCCCGAATTCGAGGAATGGAAAATGGATACGCCCAATCATCATACGTACAATATCAAATACTATAAGGGTCTCGGTACTTCGACTTCCAAGGAGGCAAAAGAATATTTCCAGGTGAGCTTAACGATTGCTATTATTGATTGTATTATTAATTAATTTTTTGAGAACTGGTATTTCGTACTATGTCATTAGTGATCCCTGAAAAGAAGGCGTTCATGCAACCAACTGAATGAATATGTTTATACTATGCAGAAACCAAGGTGTCTTCACCTGCCACTTTGGTAGTAAAACATAATTATAAATCTGTTATATAGGTCTTACCATAAGGAACTTTAATGATATTACAATTTATATTTCAATATTTCTTAATCTCGTCAGCTAAAAGCATAATTGTGATGTCAACTTCATTATATAGGTGTCATACGAATCACTGCTCATTACGTGCCAGTCCCAAGAACTTCCCAGATAGGATTTAAGATGACTGTTCCAACGAAATGTGTTCTCGATGCTGAATATTTGCTTATTAAGCTGTTTTTTTTTATACCCTGAACCCATTAAATATGGGTATAAGGGTATATTGTATTTGTGCAAAATCCAAATGTATGTAACAGGCAGAAGGAAGCATCTTCGACCCCATAAAGTCCGTCTGTCTGTCCGTCCATCCGTTTGTCCGTATGTATGAACGCAAGGATCTCAGAACCTATAAGATCTAGAGACTTGAAATTTTAGATGTAGGTGTTCTCCTTGCCTGCGCAGATCGAGTTTGTTTCCGATAATCGATAACTTACTCAGTTTCCAAGCAATCGATAAAATCGATATACTGTTTTTTGGGCAATTTTGGTAAATAATAAGAGCTAGAGTCACCAAACTTGACATATAGCTTTTAAAATAGAATATATATATGCATTTAATGTTGGAAGAAAAGGGGAGCTCCCGACTAGAACCTCATACCAAAACCTCAACCAAAAGTTGATAAACATGTTTACTTCTTGATTTTATAATCTTTAAAATCGAAATACTTAAAAGAAGAAAAATTGAACGAATTGAAATCTAATTGTATCGTTTAAAGGATATGGACCGCCATCGGATCCTATTTAAGTATGATGGCCAGGTGGACGACGATAACATTGTGATGGCCTTTGCCAAGAAACATGTGGAGTCGCGCAAAACCTGGTTAACCAATCACATGGACGAGGTGAAGCGTCGCAGGCAATTGGGTCTGCCAGAGCGTTATCTGTACACCAAGGGCACAAAGCATGTTAGCTACTCGGACTTTATCAATCTGGAACTGGTGCTTTTCTCCAATGCGGACAACGAACGTTCCATACCCAGTCTGGTGGATGGCCTTAAGCCCGGTCAGCGCAAGGTCATGTTTACGTGCTTCAAGCGTAACGATAAGCGTGAGGTGAAAGTGGCCCAATTGTCGGGTTCGGTGGCTGAAATGTCAGCCTATCATCACGGCGAGATGTCCCTGCAGATGACCATTGTGAATTTGGCACAGAATTTTGTGGGCTCAAACAATATCAATTTGTTGGAGCCGCGCGGTCAGTTCGGTACACGTCTCACTGGTGGCAAGGATTGTGCGAGCGCTCGTTATATTTTCACATTGATGTCGCCGCTAACACGTCTCATCTATCATCCGTTGGATGATCCCCTGCTGCAGTATCAGGTCGATGATGGTCAGCGCATTGAGCCAATTTGGTATATTCCCATTATACCGATGGTACTGGTGAATGGCGCCGAGGGCATCGGCACTGGTTGGTCCACCAAAATAGCCAATTATAACCCACGCGAGCTTATCAGCAATTTGCGTCGCATGATCAATGGTGAGGAACTGTTGCCGTTGCATCCATGGTACAAGAATTTTCAAGGTTCCATGGACTATGTCTCTGATGGTCGCTACGTACATTCGGGCAACATTCAATTACTTCCCGATAATCGCATAGAGATCACTGAGTTGCCCGTTGGCGTTTGGACGCAAAACTACAAGGAGAATGTGCTAGAAGTTTTGTCCAATGGCACCGAGAAGGTGAAGGCAGTTATATCCGAATATCGTGAATATCATACGGATACCACAGTGCGTTTTGTCGTCAGTTTCGCGCCGGGTGAATTTGAGCGTCTGCGCAGCGAGCCTGGCGGTTTCCATCGTGTCCTTAAGCTGAGCTCATCCCTATCCACAAACCAGATGCACGCCTTCGATGAGAACAATTGTCTGCGTCGCTTTCCGTCACCTAAGGATATATTGCAGGAGTTTTATAAACTGCGCTTGGAATACTATAATCGCCGCAAGGATTATCTTGTGGGTCAGCTGACGGCACAATCAGATCGCCTGAGCGATCAGGCCCGCTTCATTTTGGAGAAGTGCGAGAAGAAGCTGACGATTGAGAATAAACAGCGCAAGGCCATGATTGAGGAGCTCATCAAGCGTGGCTATCGTCCTGATCCTGTAAAAGAATGGCAACGACGGATCAAAATGGAGGAAGCCGAAGCTGCCGATGATGATGACGATGAGGAGGATGAGGGTGCAGAGTCGGCTACGACTAGCAGCAAGAAGGTCAAAAAAGAAGTAGATCCCGAAAAGGCTTTCCAGAAGCTAACGGAGGTCAAGAAATTCGACTACCTGCTAGGCATGTCCATGTGGATGTTGACAGAGGAACGAAAGAACGAGCTACTCAAACAGCGTGATCTCAAACTGGCCGAGCTGGATAATCTTATAAAGAAGATGCCAACTCATCTATGGATGGATGATCTTGATAATCTTGAAGCTAAATTGAACGAAGTTGAGGAGAAGGAGCGACTCGAGGAGCAGGGCATTAATCTTAAGCAAGCCAAGGCCATAAAAGGTCAAAAGCCGGCAACAATCCGTGGCAAAAAGGGCAAAGCTGCCGCTGGCAACGCAGACATCTTTCCCGATCCCATTGGCGAACGTGTGGCATTTAAGATCACTGATGATATTATTAAGAAATTCCAAGCCGCCACAATAATCGCCGTCAAGGCTAAGGAGCGGAACACCAAGGTTAAAATGGTTAAGAAGGAAACTGTCGAAGAGGTCGACGATTTTGACGTCTTGGTCGAGGGCGGCGCTACAAAAACCTCGCCCAAGGCTAAGAAAGCGCCAGTCCTCAAAAAGGAGCCAGCCGAGAAGAAGCCGCGCCAAAAGAAGGAGAACGGCGATGGACTTAAGCAACCCAAACTAGACTTTTCCAAGGCTAAGGTAAGTTTCATAACTTTGGCTATTTAATGGTGTCATTTATTGATTTCTAATACCCGATATTTAGGGTTCAAAGAAGGATTCCCCTGATGAGAGTTCCGGAGATGTCGAAATGGAAACGTTACGTGTTGAGCGGCCTGGTCGCCGTGCCGCTAGTAAAAAAATCGACTACTCCTTCCTATTATCGGATGATGAGGGTGGCACTGAGGCAGCCAGCGCACCAGGAAACAACGATGATGGCGACGAGGACATCGATGATTCACCCATCAAACGACCGGCGGCGGCAAAGCGTCAACGTGACGACGACAGCAGCGGCGGTGGTGCCAAGAAGAAGAAGGCACCCAAAAAGCGATACGCCATCGATAGCGATAGCAACGATGATGAGATTGAATGCTTGGACGATGACGATGATTCCGATTTCGAGGCATAAGCTATATAGGCATTACGAGTCAATACTTTCCAGCAGCTGTTATGTTTATTGCTCCTGGATCTACTCCTGGTATATTATTACAAATATTTTACCAAAAAAGTTACCGAATGCATAGAATACAAATTGTGTTTAAGGTCATAAACTTGGTTAAAATAAGTAAAGGAAAAAGTATTTCTAATATACGAATGCGAAACGTTCATAGAAACATACAAAATTAAGGAATTTTTAAAACAGTTTGTCCGCTTCATTTTTCAAAATTTCATCATATTTGATTATTTTATTTTTATTGTGTAACAACTTCGCAACATTCTTTCAATTTATAGTTTTTAATAAGGAGAACGATAAACTACAAAAACAAAAAAAAAAAGAAAAACAAGCGATAATCCACCATTATATAAAATACAAAGCACTCTTTAATCTATCAATTATCATGTTTTGTAAACATAGTTTGTAGTCACATACAATACCATTTTTTTCATGTAAATAAAATGTACTTTACGCAATCTTGCTGTTTTAATTATATTCTCAAATGTAAATAACAATGCAGGGGAACCCATTCTACACTTCTTAACACATATAGTTTGGAAATTAAACCTTACTGAACTTAAATATCTGTCTGATTTCGAATATTTTCCTTTTAATTACATGCATATAAAAACGATAAAGAAAGGCTATCTTCGGCACGCCGAAGATCTAATACTCTTTCAGACCCAACCTTTTCATAATGCTTATAGTGCTTCGCCCGTATCTAAGAAGCACAGGGAAAATAGTTAATGCCGAGTTTGGGTAAGATATCTTGATAAGCAAAAAAGACTTGTAATCAAAAACCTACTTTTTGACCGATCGTTCCTATGGCAAATATATGATAAAGGAGGCCGATGTAAATAAGATTTGCAAAAATGGAGGGAGCATAGTGAAATCTTTAAATGACGTGTTTTATCAAAATATCTTGAATGATTTTCCATACAACAACTTAATTTTCGACCGATCGTTTCTATGGCAGCTATATGCTATAGTGGTCTGATCCAGCTGGTTTTGATATATGTGCTGCGTGCAACAGAAAGAGGGATTTCTGCAAAGTTTTATTAAGATAGGTTTAAAACTCAGAGACTAGTTCGCATAGAAACAGACAGACGGACATGGCTATATCGACTCGGTTGTTGATGCTGATCAAGAATATATATACTTTATGGGGTCGGAGATGTCTTATTCTATGCGTTACACATTTAACGACAAAATAATAATACCCTCTGCAAAGGCTTAAAAAGGAAATAGCGGGCTTCCAGAACTTAGAATCGACGCGCAATAGTGGGAGCAACAACTTTGGTATAATATTATTTTATATTGTCTCATTTGGCTCATATCGGTTTTTTTGTAGATCGCATATTACCACATAATATAATAGGCAAAATAAAAATTGTCGAAAAATTAATTCATGATGACTTAAACAAAAGCTGGTATTAATATACATTTTTCAGTAAGAAAAGAAAACTTATAGCTCCAAGCCTAACAAATTCCATTGTTAGATCGGATCATATAAACATAAAGATGTTTTAGTCTTCTATAAAGTTCATATCGATCAACTAAGCAATAACCAACATTTCTTAAGCTCTTTAATTTGACGGAAAATATATGAAATTTTCATTATTTTGAAAGTTCAAATAACATAGATTTTATCACACGTTAATTGTGTTGTGGAAAAAGTTATGTCTTTTTTCTCCATTGATAAACATTGTGATTATAATTAGTTTGATTTTTTTTACAAACAGAAACCCAAACAAAACAAGCATTTGAATATACTTATTTATTAAAATATAAAATAACTCTTGAAGCTTTTCGTGCTTGTAGGACCCGAAAAATCCTTTGTAAATCGTTTTTAATGGCACACTTTAAACATCGAGTTGATCGAGAAATATTTTAAATGTATTTTTAATATTATCATTGGCAAACGTTTCGCTTTTAATTGCCTCCCGAAGAGCATAGCGACAGCTCTTGACATTGTAGTCGCTCTTGAAGTGCTCTTCGCTGCGCAACAGGCCCAGCTGCTTGAGATAGTAGTCCAGCACGCGCGACTCCTGGTCCGTTTTGATGGCGTAGTCAAAGGTCGCCTGGTAGAGGGAAACGGCCAGCTCCAAAGCCGCCTGAGATGTCTGGGACAGATGCGCGCACTTGAGCGTCGTAAAGATGAGCAGCAGCAAGTGGTTGTCATCGCTAAATTGCTGTGTCATAAATATATAAATGGGATTTTTTAAAAATATTTTTTAATGAAAGATCGGACCAAAATTGAATTGCTGAAGGTCAATGAAGACACTTGGTGTCTATATGCTTCAATATAGCTTAATGACTCTCGCGTTTGTTTTCATCTTACATTGATTATGTTCTGCAGCGCCTGCAACTTATTTGTCGCTTCTAGGGAATCAAATTGCTGCAGTGTGCATGGCGTTTGGCTCAGGCAAAACTCCGCCGGGGTGCAACTGACGTTGACGACAGTCTTGTTGCCATTTTTGTTAATGTCAGAAGTGTTGCTGGTCTTGTTAGAGTTGACGGTTTCGTTAAAAAGCTGCGGCGAATCATAAATTTAGCAGGGATATTAATCGGATCGGTTTAACCTGCCACAGGCCACTAACCTTGGTGGAAAAGGCATTGCTGGTCACGTAGGCGGTCTCTTCGGCGATATTTTCGTTGGCATAGTCCTCTTCATCATCTTCGTCCACCTCTTCGGTGGTATCATTTGGATCGTATTCACCATCATCCTCTTGGTCCTCTTCATCCAAGTAATCGTTATACTCGTCTTCGCTATTCTCGGGGGTTTCATTGTCGTCACCATCATTTTCGGCACCGCTTTCTTCACCCTCCTCCTCAGATACGAACTCGTCCATGGACTGCAATGCGGCGGAGTTCTTGGCTTTGGCCATTTGTTCAACGATTTGTGCGCTCCCAGCTTGGCCAAAGCAATTGCCATCCAAATTGAATATCCTTAGCTTGGGCTTATTTTGCACAGCTGTTACCAGCGCAAGGCCACCATCGTAGTTGATCTCATTAAAGCCCAAATCCAATACCTCCAGATGCTCATGGTTCTGCTCTAAAGCCTCGGCAAAATGATAGGCGCCATCAGTCTTCAGCAAACAATCCCCAAAATCAATTTCCCGCAAACTGCAATTTAAGATGGTGTTAAAATTGTTGGAATAAGAAAAAGCAGACAGAAGGCTGGCTATATGGACTCGTCTGTACACACAGATCAAGAAGAGAATACATAATTATTGGACTCTGCAGGGGTTGAACTTACAGCGGAGTATGCTCGAAAACTTCGGCTATTTTAGCGGCACCCCGGACGTTGAGTGTATTGTCATTCATGTTGAGGACGCGTAAATGTGGATTCTTTTTGAAGCTACTGGCGAGAGCGGCGACGCCCACGTGATAAATGGAATTCTGAGGCATGGTAATCTCCTCTAGGGTTTGCAGTACCTTGAATGTCTTCGATATTGCCTTGGCGCCAGCATTTTCTAAGCGATTGCGGCCCGCGACAAAGATGCGCAACTGCAGAGGTGTGCCCGCCACCTTGGCATTCTTGTGGAGATCAATCAGTGCCTCAGACAGCATACGTCCGCCCTCCGGCCCAAGCCCGCAGTTGTTCAGATACAGCTCTTGCAGCGAGAAGCACACGGGTGAGCGCAAAAACTCCTCCAGGCCAGTCATGCCATTGGGCCCCAGCGCATTATCGCTTAGGTCGAGCACCGTCAACTTGGCGCCAGCTGCAATTAAGCCAGCGCCCAGATGCTTCAGTGCGAGAGGAATTTCCGACTTGAGACGACCGGTAAATAGATTCTTCCACAATGCTTTTCGAAATTCTGGATGTGATTTCAGTGCCTCGCTAATGGCCTGTGCCGCCTCCACGCCCAGCGTATTGCCATCAAGATTGAGGAAATGAACTGTGGGTTTGCTATTAAGAGCCTCAACAACAGCTTTGACTGTAAGATGGGAGAATATTTATTGGGCTGCGTTGGGCTGGCCGGCGTCTACTCACCATCCTCGGCATTGTGCCAGGTTTCGGCCTTGTCTTGGAACGAAATGCCTTGCTCCTCGTTAAGCTGCGCTGCCATACTTGCAAAACTAAAGGTAGACATGGTTGTGCTCGACATGTTTGTGTGTTAAACTTGATTTTTGTTATTTTTTATTTAATAAAGTTTCCGCCAGCACTGTACTCTTTTTATATTTTTTTTTTTTGCAAGCCGCTTGCGAAATTTCTCCGCTTTTAACCTCGTAAAAGAGCGCTAGAATTGACAGCGGTTGCAGCGTTTGTTTGCAGGCAGCTGCATCTTTTTTGACAACTGCTGTCAGTGTAGTGTGGTCCTGCTCTAGCGCAGACTGTCTGCAGATTTTGCAACACTGCTCGGGACCTGAGCTGTGCATTTTAGTTCAAAATTTGATTTAGTTCATTTATTCATGTGATCTATGCACGTCTTGAATTGAATATGCATATTTTATTGTTAAAGTTTTTAAACTGTTGTTTTTAAGGATTTAATAACCAGTAAGCTTTGCATGAAATAATTTTTAAAGTTCTGCTATGCTGTTTCGTTTTTAAAGAGTAAAAGAATACAAGAGTTTGCGAATGATTAAAAAAGTGTACAAAATGTAGAATACAACTAATCAAAATTTGAATTATTCATGCCCATTAGAATTTATTCAATTTTTTAACTAGAGTTCCCCGTAAACTTAACCTGCGATTTAAGGAGCAGAAAATAAGTTCAGTAGATCACACACTATTTTCCAGTATTCCAATCAATTAAACTTAATCTGGACGAAACGCGACAACTCTGAAGGCACAGCTGTTTTGCGCACCGACGCTCAGTGGCGCAGAGAATAAAATTGAAATGCGAATTAAATAATTTCAACTGGCATTTGAAATCTGATAAAATGTGTGCGGCACATGCAGATGGCTCCTGGATAAGCGCAGTGTTCGACGAAATAGCACTGGAAGGCTTGGAAGGGACCACATTGCCATGTAAGTAAATTCGCGAAAAGGAATACATTTAGAAACAGTGTGCGCCAGCAGTCTGCGTACTTGAGGAAAAATCTGAAATGTAATTAATAATAATCCCTTCTCTAGATTTGTGGTCGCTGCTAAACATACGTCTATACGGTGGGAAACCTTTGCCGGACGCGCTGCAGCAGCAGATATGGTTGCTATTGCTGCGCTCCACGGACAAAGTGAAGTTCTATGAGCTGTTCGTAGCACGTCCTTGGCTGCCGCCCTATAAGCGCTTCAATGATCAGGATGAGGAATCGGGCTTGCCAGTGGTCCCGGAAAGCTGCCCCTTTTTGCGCCCGCCCTATGCACCCATACAGGATGGGTCCATTCGTGGAAACTGCATGGACTACAAGATGCGCAAGGCCGTTAATGTAAGTGTGCTGCAGGAACTAACCGCCGCGGCGGCAACAGAGCGCTATCACCAGACGCTGGTTGTGGTGGCCAGTCAG